ACTCCACGGCACATGACAACAACATACACTCACACACGTATATACATATATGTATATATATGTTGTTGTATAATGTATGTGACTATCTATCTATCTATCTATCTATCTATCTATCTATTGCTGTTGTTAAGTGTACAACAAATACAGATATACATAAATGCTATATCTATATATAAATGTATATATGTTGCTGCTGTTAAGTACCATTGAGTTGGCTCCACCCCATAGCGATCCTGTATAGGGTTTCTGAGGAGTGGCTAGTAAGCTTGAACCACCAATTTTGCAATTCAGAAAGACTTTGCAGTCCAGCTTATTGACCCACAGTGCCACAACAGGACTCTCTCTATATAAGCAGCTGTGGTTGTGTAGTGGTTACCAGTTGGGCTGCTAACCTCAAGAGCAGCAGTTTGAAACTACCAGCTGTTCCATGGGAAAAAGATGAGACTTTCTGCTCCCGTAAAGATTTACACCCTAGGAAACCCTGTATAGGATCGCTACGAGTCAGAACTGACTTCATGGCACATAACCAACATATATAATAAGACAATTAGGACGTATCTGTGAAGCATTTTAAGTAAAGACCTTGACGTAATTCCTAAAAAAATGTTATCTCAAGGAAGACTCACAGAAGGATGATAAGTTAAAACTATGCAAATTAAAAATAATGGTACTTTGGAATGAAGATAAATATAGTCTTGCCAATGCTTATTCTGGTATCAGCTAGTGAGTTAAGTGTTTAGCAGTTTCATAAGTATGTACAGTATTGAGGCTGAAGATGACACAAGCACGCATATACCCCTGCATCTATGTACAGAGCATAATGAGATCAACATTGTTCTAGAGTGTTCTAACTCAAAAAGTGATTTAAATGTGATAGTTCGAGACTGACAATTGAGAAGCCATGTTTTTATCACTTTATAAGCTACACTGCTTGACTCATTAGTGTATTTTGTGGATTATTTCCTTTATATCTTATTTCCATTTATAAATCAGAATATGTAAAGATCCATTTCTTTTCCATTTCACATTAAGTGGCTTTATATGGGCATGATACCACTAAATAATTAGTCAGTGGAAACTAACTTAAGCACTGGCAAATCCATAGATAACATTAACAATAAGTCTTTCTTTTCATCAGCTTTGTGGA